ACTGGCTAAGGATTAGCGAAGAGACAGACAGACCGATATAAATGAGTAACATCCAAAAAACATAATATCTCATCTTCGAAAATTTTCACGATTATAATACTCCATTGCCAGTGGCGTAAGAAGTAAAAGATATCAACTACGAAATCACCGAAGAAGACACGCTAAAACCAGTATTCGTCTAGCTATTGCTAAGCAAAAAATGATACTCATGTATAGGTAAAATTGGTAGTTCCCGCGCATATCTTAGTCCATATTTTTCAATTGTCCTCGTGGCATTTCAAATCACCCTCAGTGACGATTCAAAAAAAAAGGGTCAGTACTGTAATGCTACTAACATGACATGTTTGACAGATGGGATTTTTCACAAGCACAGTGATGTGAGCCGCTTCATCTGGCCATATGTTGAATAATTTTGTATAATTTTTTCTGTTTCGTATTTGCTTTGTAGGCTCGTACCGGAATATGTATTGTATACAACGTTATCTTTTCACTGTCTACTTGCGTTTTACTTCTATTATTATTATTATTATTTTGTTTGTGTATCGAGTTGTGTGTGTTACTTTTTTCACACAGTAAGATTAAGACTTTAAAAATTTTGATATTTTATCATTGCAAAATGATATTTTAAACTTTCCCTGGAGCATTAAATATTCCGTAGAGAGTATTGATCACAAAATTTCATATTTGACAGATGAGCTAAAATTAATTTTTGACAAGCATGCACCTCTAAGAATTGTACGTGTAAATAAACCGCATGCTATCATCCCAGCTTAAACGTATGATGAAAGACAGAGACAGAGCTTTAAATCAGTTTAAAATTAATAAGACAGAAGATTCCTGGAATCGCTACAAAGAGCTCAGAAATTCAACTTTGAGTCAAATTAGATATAAAAACACAATGATTCAAAAATGTTTTATAGATCCTTAAAATCAATGCGTATCGAACAGTCACAAAATACCGATATTCCTCTACATTTAAAGAACCCTACTGAATTAATAATTATTTCTGTTCCATTTTTAATAACGCCATTATGAGCATTATGAAAAGAATCACTATTCTACTGATCGATTCAAGTTTAAACCAATCGATATGACTGATTTAAAATCGATGTTCCAGTCTCTGAAATCGAATGCCTTAGGAAGCGACGGCGTGTCACTCAAAATGCTAAAACTATGCTTCTTTGCGATTTCAGGTCACATTTTGCACATCATAAATACCTGTTTAGAAAGGGGATTCCTTCCAGAATCATGGAAAGAAGCATTAGTGTTACCTCTAGCTAATATAAGTAAGCCAAAATTATATTCTGATTTAAGACCAATTAGTATTTTACCTGTTATGTCCAAATTATTAGAAAAAGCAATGTACGCTCAAATTTACGATTATCTCTCTAAACATAAAATTTTGCCTCCCATACAATGCGGTTGTCGAAAAGGATATAACACTGCAGGTGCCCTATTAGACTTAACCGATAACATTGTTAGAGCCTGGGATCAACATATGATCACATCATTAGTTCTACTTGACTTCTCTAAGGCATTCGATACCATAAATCATCGTCTTCTAGCAGCCAAGTGCAAATATTTTGGTTTTTTTGACTCTGCCTCAAAAATGATTCAGAGCTTCTTAGGAAATCGATATCAAAGGGTACACATTGACATGGTTCTATCTTCAAAGTGCCTCATTTCCTCCGGAGTGCCTCAAGGGTCTGTACTTGGACCACTCGTATTCAGTTTGTATATTTCTGATCTCCATTCAGTTGTTAAATATTGTAATATCCAATTCTTTGCCGACGATTCACAGATCTACAGTCATTTCCAGAGGTAACTGAAGATATAACATCTATTAGTATGTATGCAAAAAATCATAACCTTCAGTTGAACCCTTTAAAATCGAAAGTCGTCATTTTTTCACTAAAACTATTTAGAAGTGATTTCAAAAGAAATTTTAAAGTAAAATTAAATGGTGAGACTATCTTTTATCTTCCATTCCTTGACTCAATATCTCTAGCACGTCTCCAAAAAATCCAAAACTCATGTTGTAGGTTGATCAATAATTTGAAAAAATATGATCATATCAGCCCTTTTTTCAATGACATGAAGTGGTTGATAGTAAATGAACTGTGTATGCTACACCTAGTTACTTACACCCACAGGCTTTTACTGTCATCCATTCCACCGTTTTTGAGATAAGTATAAGCTGATATCTAGAAGCAATATCCATTCTAGGGACATTCGATTCACTGAAACACTCACAATGCCCCTCCACAGGACATCATTCTTTCGTAAATGCTTCACCTACAACGCAATTATTTTTCATCATATGATGAATTTAAAAGACATATGAAGAAATTTATTTTGAATAGAAGTATATAAATTAGTTGATAAAATTTATCTGTCACCCCACACAAAAATATTTCGAATATAGAATTCATTTGTTTTGTACGACTGTTACAATTTTATGCTTTTAAACATGAAATATTGAATAGCCTTCACTTATATATGTTATATACCATATTTTTTATACACCTACATTTGTAATCTTCTAACTTATCAAATGTATTTATGTATTTTGTATTGTTTTTTCAGTTTTTCTTTTTTTTTTTGGGGGGGTTAAGTGGCAGAGTAGCATTATGCTAAACTTCGCCCCCTAAATAAAGACGATTTATTATTAATATTATTATTATTGCAAGGGCAAAAAAGACTAAATGCCTGGGCACCGCGGCTGCGGCTGCTATAAGGAGCTTAAAGAAGCTTTGTTAATCCGATTTGTGAACTGCCTAATGTTAGTACAACTGGAAAAAGCCTCAGAGAGATTATTCCACAATCTCAATACCCTGGGGAAAAAGGAGCGGTCCATCGGCCATTTGTGAATATACGATGTTCGACACGGTCAGGATGGGAGGTCGAAGTCGGGCGGGTCTGTCTGGCGGCCACATCGCGCGGCGGCATCATAGAGGAGAGGTCTGAGAAGAAATCCCATTGACATAGCGGTAGAAGAGAACTAGATCGCTCGTCGGTGGCAAAGGGTCGCGAGACTGTCCGTTTAGGGAAGAATCGTCGATCAGTGGGACAGCCTTCCTCTGTACATCACCGAGCATGGATAATGTTGTCAGGGCGATAGCATCCCAAACGTGCGAACAGTACTTGGGGTTGGGTCTTACCTGGGCCTTGTATAGAGTGAGGAGATTATGAGGAGAAAAGTACCTCTTAACAATAAACAGATAGCCTAGCTTTTTCACCGCATCTTGGCCATCTATCAAAACCGCTGACCGCTACAGCGCTTCTTGTTAGTCAAAGTACAGCACTGTATTTTAGAAGCATTAAACTGTACCAGATTGTTGCGTCCCCAAGCAGTGATAACCTCCATGTCTCTTGTCAGAGAAGAAGTCGCTGCTGGTCTTCTCTCAGAAAAGGAGGTCGTTGATATATAAGAGGAACAATGTCGGAGCCAAGGCCGATCCCTGGAGAACACCCGCGTTGACATTGTGGGATGGAGAATGAAGACGAGAACCCGTAAATTCGAACGGACATCTTGCGGCCAAAGAGAAAGACAGCCACCCATCTGCAAAGCTTCTCTGGGTCTAGGAGGCCTTAGGTGCTTGAAGTTTGTATTTGATGAATCAAAACTTCTGGTATCGTACAGTTCAATAAGGTTACTAACTAGCACGACAAAGCTCAAGTCACGAAAGTGCCCCATGATAACCTTGCGGTCTTGAATTTTCAAAGGAACGTCTGCAGTTTGTAAAAGCCCTAGGGGATCGCTGTGGAGGAGACTCGGCACGACTTTGAGAACCATACACCATTCCAAGCGATGGAATGTTTAGATTACGCGATTTATTACTATTTCAGACTTATCTAGATAATATCTTTTGTAGGGTGGACGTCTGTAAACCATAACTCGCACATCGTAAAAAGCACGAGGTTGTAAAAAATAAAACCATTCACTCGGTACGACTGATATGGAATGATCAACAAATTGACGATGAGTTCAGGAAGCTCAAAAATCGACGGCACCACCGGAGAAACAAATTCTATTACTAGGAGGATAATCCAGGGCTGCAATACTTGGAAAACAGTCGAAAGTACCTACTTCTTAACTCTAAGCAGATCATCAGACCTTCGGTAATCTAACTTCCACAAGTATGACTAAGTGCATATCTAGTTGAAAGTCTTCTCCATTCCAATTCATCCTCCTTACGGCTCTTTTAATACAGGTTGAAGTGGAATAAAAACAATGGTGGAGTCGAGAACGATCCTTGAGGAATATCCGCTTTGATTATGAAACGAGTAGGTCAAACTCTATAAAAAGCTTGTTAGCCTGTCCAACGTTAGATACTTCACAAATGAGTTGAAGCCCATTTCTTAAGGAACACCCATGTTGATGTTAAATCGAACAGAACTCGAAAAAAAAGCCTTTTGAAAGGGTTGGAAGAGCAACATGCCATGGTATAGGCCAGGGTTAACAGCAAATTGATGATTATAAGACGAGGATATAGTATGGGAGTCTCTCATTTGATCTTTGGTGATGCAATCTATCCTGACTGCCACTAATAAGGCGGTATAATCCGCAGCATATTTCAGAATGTTTCTATTGACGCATTGGGGATTAGTAACAGCCGAGCTTCAGCCATTAGATTCTTGAATCGGCCTTTGATCCTTTTGTTGGAAGGTTTGGACATGAGCATAATTTGAGTCTCTATATATGCATCTTTTGAAGTAGAGAATACGACCCTAACTTTTTTCTGCTGCCTCATTTTTATCTATTGTACTTTATTACCAGTACAAATTTATATTCAGCACTACCAGACACTTCCCGCGGGCCATAACTTTTGCATGTAAAAATTTATATTAGACTATACAACTTTTAGTTATGGCTGATGGGAAATGTTTGCTTACTACTATTCCATATACGTTCATAACGATAGATCATTGACATTGCTCTGAATGTTTATAAATATGTATGGTGTACTATTATCTCCTATTGTTTTTCTGAAACCCACCTGGAACAGTAGATCTGCAACTGGTCACATTCCTGATTGATTTGCGAAAGCGAAAACTCCCGTAGCACCGAGTTGAGCACCTGCGGTAAACACAGTCTCTTTTCACCGCCCACTACAAAACAGGAGATTGATTCTCCTTCCAAAATCGTCTCAGTCCTTTCCGAACAACTGGTATCCGGCACTGTGAGTATGGGCACTTGTTGTACCGCTGGCAACGGAGCGACCACAAATTCCTCTTCGTCCTCTTTACCATTTTGAGGCTCCGGAGAAGGCGAAGGGGTTTCTTGCTTCAGAGACAGCCCACCAGGGCCTTGAAGACTTTTGGTCGCGCTGTGCTGATAGTTCTTCAGCACGTTCTTCAGATGCGGTGTCACCTCCATCGCGATACACTAAACTAACGCACTGGCACTTTTGAAGCTGGCTGACATCATACACTGGCACTTGGAAGAAATAGCTGGGAAGTCTAACGATAGATTATGGCAAAGAATATTGAGGTACGGAACGAGATCTTCCGCAGGATTATATTAGTTCGACCCGGGCCGGTATTAAGATGAAGTTTGCCATTGAAAGCTTCCATCGAAACATCACTCAGGTCGTACTGGCACGTTGACAGTCTAGCAAGTTGAGGTGATACTCGGCATCGCGACAATCCAAGACAAAAGAGTGACAAGTGCACCTCGGTGACCCCGAGTAGGTAGGTCGGACGTTACGTAAGGGCCGACAGACGGAACGCGGTGTCGGCTCGAGACAAATCAGATCGCGAGGCGGACGGCGGATTCCAGTTTCAGCGACCGATGCATGAACCACGCGCGGCACTCAGCAGCTTAGCAGCGGCACCTCACGCTCACCCTGCGCTGCTCATGACTGGCGTAGCGGCGAGCGGCGCGGATCGAGGCAAGGAGAACGGAGGCGAGGCAACGCAGCAGGCACAGGCGAGGCGACGAGGCCGCCGCGACCGACCGGTGGCGGTAATCGTGTCTGGACTGTGCGGCAGACCGATTCGGCGTTGCCGCTCCCGCTTATTTGGCGATGAATCTTCGTAAAGGGCTCCTAACAAGACGAAATGAAGGATAGTTGAATCATTGGCGACAGATAACATACCGCGCCAGACGAACAGGAGGTCGTAGCGCCAAACGAAAAGAAGGTTTCCGCGCCAAACGAAAAAGAAGTCGTCATTCCAATTAAAAGGTGGTTATAGCGCCAAACGAAAAGGAGGTCTCCGCGCCACACGAAAAGGAAGTCGTAGCGCCAGACGGAAAGGACGTAACGCCAAAAGAAACGAAAAAGAGTTAGCGACGTTAAACGAAATGGAGGTCATGGCGCCTAACGTAAAGAAGGACGTCGCACCAGTCGAAATAGCGTTGGTTGTACTGAACGAAAAAGAGCTGTACAAAAAGAATTTTCCACAACAATCGAATAGGAGGTGGTCGCTGCACCAAACGAAAAGAAGGTCGTAGTACCAGAGGGAAGGAGGGAGAAGCACCAAAAGATTTGAAAAAGAGTTGTAGCGTTAAACGAAAAGGAGGTCGTGGCATTTCACGTGAAGAATGATGACGAAATAGTGTTGACCGTACTGAACGGAAAAGAGCCACACAAAAAAGAATTTGCCACCACAAACGATTAGGAGGTCGCCATGCTCATGAAAAGAGGTTGAAGTGTAAATTAAATAAGTGGTCTCGCCGGAAAGAGGTCATAACTAACGCCTTAGATAAAGAATATCGTACCAGTTGAAATAGAAATGGCCGCGCTAAACGAAAAATAAGCGCACAAAAAGTCGCCAAAGCACAATGAAAGAGGAGGTAGTACCAGAGGAGAAAAGAAGGCGCAGCGCTAGACAAAAAGGAGGTTTCCGTGCCATACGAAAAGGTCATAGCGCCAAACGAAACGGAGGTTCCAGACCAGACGAAAAGGAGATCGTAGCGCGGAACGAAAAAGGGTCGTCAGGCTAAATAAAAGCAGATTATAGCGCTAAACGAAAGGGATGTATCCACAACATACGGAAAGGAGGTCGCAGTACCAAACGGAAAGAGGCTCGTAACGCTAAAAGAAACAAAAAAAAGTAGCGTTAAACGAAAAGGACGTCACACCAGTCGAAATAGGGTTTCTCGCTCAACACGAAAAAGAGGCCTACAAAACAGTCGCCAAAGCACACCAAATGAAAGAGAGGTGGTAGCTCCAGATAGAAAAGAGAGTTCGTAGTGTCAAACAGAAAGAGGGGTCATGGTGCCTAACGTAAAGAAGGTCGCCGCACTAGTGGTAACAAAATTGGCCGCTCCATACCAAAATAAGCTCCACAAAAATTAAATCATCAGCGCGTAGATGCTTGGCTGCCCGCACAAAACGACCTACTGGAAAGTAGCTCAGAACAGGTACACCAATACTTTTACGTTGGTAGGGTATTTAAGGTTAAGGAGGTTGAAGTAGAAAAGGAGACGGCTTCGCCTGGTGAGAAGGAAGTCGGCACACCAAAGAAATAAGAAGAGATCTTACGAAGATGATAACTGAAAGGAGGGCGCAACGCCAAACAAAGCAAAACAATAAAGTTCATAGCGTCAAACGAAAAAGATGGCTTGGCTCTTCACGTGAAAACGGGCGTGGAACCAGTCGAAATAGAGAACCAAATGTGACACAAAAAATAATCCACGATGAATGAATAGGATATCACAAAAAAAATCGGCACACCAAGCGAAAAAGATTTCGAGAAGGAGGGCTTACCGCCAGATAAAAAGGAGGACGTAGCGGTAAACGAAAAGGAGGGCGCAACGCCAAACGACACAAAACAACAAAGTTCGCATCGTCAAACGCAAAGAAAGTCATGGCTCCTCACGAAAAGAAGGGCGTCGAACCAGTCAAAATAGAGAACCAAACGAAAAAAGTCATACATAAAAGAATCGTCCACGATGAACGAATAGGATACTACCGCGACGCATGAAAAGAGACACACCCAACGAAAAAGAGGTCAGAGAGCTGAACAAAAATGGACGTAAAAGAATGACTTAGCGCAACGCGAAAAAGTGGCCGTAACACCAAACGAAAAGGAGATCACAGCATCTACGAAAAGGACGCCACTTTAGTTTAAATACAGCTTGCGTCACCAAAGTAAGGAGGCCACCGTACTAGATACAAAAATAAGAATCTATCGCCTGCCGCCCGAGAAACATGATAAACATCATGCCGCATAAAAAAGGGCTGAAATAAAAAAGATAACTTCGTTGGCTAACAAAGAGGAGATACGGCACACCAAATGAAAAAGAGCTCGTAGCTTCAGAGGGAAAAGAGAGAGTAATGTCAAACGAAGCAAAAGACATCGACAAACGAAAAGGAGGTCGACTCACCAACTGAAAGGACTTGTCGCCATGCTGCATGAAAGGAAGGTCAATTAAAAAATGACACGGCTTCGTCAACGAAAAGGAGGTCTGCACTCCCAACGAAAAGGTTGCCTTGGCGCATGAGGTAGTTACACCAAACGACTAGGACATAACCGTACTAGATGAACTGCCATGCAACACGAAAGGTCTCCGAGTTTGTATTGTCCAAAGTACAGTCTATGAATGGGAGGTTCATTTTTGCGAAAAATCAAGCTCCTTGAGTCCGTCCGCGGAGCGCGAGTTTAGCCATGGCTCGACGGAAAAGTAGCAACAATAAAAAAGCGCGAACCGTCTTTCTGTCAGTGATTTTACTTTTTGTAGTTTATAAATACATACTTTGATAAGCGTTATACATTGTCGGCCCACCCATAATATTCGAGTGCATTTTATGCCTAGCACATTTGGCAACGGCGCATTTGAGATAGTTGCCATTCGCCGTCAGAGTCGACGGCGGCGGCGGCGGACAAACGCCTGCATCGTGCGCCAGCGCAACTTCCATCCATCTATTCCTTTATTTGTCTGCTAAACGTAGAATTAGTTCATTTTAATTTTGGTAGATCCAAGAATCATCAAAATATTTGTTTAAATATATACTTAAATATAAAGGCATTGTTGCGCTTAGCGAATATATTGCAACAAAGATGCACAATTGTGCAAGGTCATGCGATGAATAACTGTTTTGTCTATTGTGGACATGTACTGACGAAGTCCTGAAATGAGCTAAGAGAACCGAGATCTTGTTTCTTCAGTTTGGTTTCAGGAAATCGCAATGTACCGGTTCCGACGCGACGCGTTGAAAAATTTGCCACGTTGCCACATCACAAAGAATATTATTCCCAAGTATGCTTGACCATATTCAGGGTGTCCCGTATTGATATAGTGACAACAGAGCTGCTATCCAGCCAACAACGCCATTGTGTTTGAGGTGCATAGGCTTTAAACACGAAGGCGTCAAACCCTAGATGACGGCTGGAACGCAACAAAATATCGTTACGTCCTGTCTTTGTCATTACTGCCAATGCCGCATCTGAGCGCAGTTTCCCTTGCTGATATATTTTTAGTTTTCATCTTGCCGCGTATTTTCCTTGGCTTTCATTCGTTTTTGTATTTAGGGGTTTGACTACTGGTTTGATTCGTTTTTAACAAAATTTCATTTTCTATTAGATTTTTATAGTATTTTTGTATTTATTAGTGCCTTCCAATAATCACAATTACCTAAATTACAAAGTAGATGAAAAAAACAAGCTATTTAACGAACAGATTTTTACATATTGATAACAGATTTTTCATTGGTTTGATGCACCAACTAAAAGGATGGTGCTCGCAGGGCAAGGGGAGAAGCAAATTTGTGCTCTGTGCATCAACCTGGAACAAGAGTTTGGCGCATATAAGCGCGCAGGTGCTTGGCTGCCTGCACAAAACGGCCGACTGGAAAGTAGCTCAGAACAGGTACACCGATACTTTTACGTTGAGTTGTTCATAGGGTATTTAAGGTTAGCAAAAATTCTCATTTCAACATACGACACGACCGAGGGTGTCCCTCTCCAATTTTCAGTTGTCGGTCTTCAAATAATGTCATAAGGGCATTCGTTCTTCATTCTCAAAGGCATTAATGCAGCAGACAACGCAGCCGCCGACGCCGCTTCCACCGCACGCTGTTCAATTTTCAATCATCTAGGCTGGTAAATAATTGGGCCTAAATTGGTCAGCAGCCGAAATAAGTTTCAGAACCCGGAACTAACTATATAGTTACAAGGATTACCTGGCAGAAATCAGGAGAAGAACATTTCGGACGTGTATAGAAATTTGGCAACGTTGCTTGATTAGTCTAGCCATCGCTGCCCCTTCACTCCTCCCACAGCCGATCCGTCGTTGAGGTCGGTCACGTGATCGACCTTCCCGTCAAAATACTTGGACGAGAAGTGGGGTGGATAACTCGCTAAATCGACGTTGCCAGATCTTCGAAAAAATGTCTGTATATTTAGATAAAGACAATCTTGGGGCTTGATCCTAAATGAGTTTCGACCGTTGAAATTGATTTCGATGGCGCTTTGTGATGATATACTTGATTCGCTACGATAATTTTGACAACTGACTATATGGATCTTCTATATTCAAATTATCATGGCAGTGTCAAAATTATCATAGCTTATCAAGTACATCGTCACAACGCGCCATCGAAATCAATTTCAAGGGTGGAAACTCATTTAGAATCAAGCCTCTGTTTTCATTTGCCCCTAACCCTTTAAGCCATAAATACCAAAAGTTCCTTTTATAGGATTGCAGACATGATGTTAATAAAGGGTTGATGTTTCAAATAGAACCCTTTTTGGACCTAGAAAGGACATTAGGATTTGACATAATCCTTGTGGGTTGATTGAAGTACCTTCCGGACACAGTAGGTATAAGATACTTAATTATATAGCCACATTCTCTTTAAGATAAATGATAAAATCAATAAAGTCAATGATACAAAATATTTAGGAATTTATCTAGATCCCCACTTGAGATGTGACATACATATTATTGAAGGAAATCCGATTTTTAGCATATAAAATAAAATTTCTAACCATTATATTAACTGAGTAATATCAACGTAGGTATGGTAAGT